CCGAGGCCTCGGCCGCCTCCCAAACTTTTCAAAGTCGGCCCGCGGCCCGGCAGGCCTGGGCTCCGAGCTCGGCCGGGAGGACCCCGGGGACCAGGAGGAGGACCCGGAGGACCAGAAGGAGGACCCGGAGGAGGAGGGGCCACCGCATCAAAGACGCCGGCTTCCCGCGGCCCGGGGGCGAGCCATGCGCGGCGGTCGGTAATGTCAGCGGAACAGGACAAGGAGCCCATCGCGCTGAAGAGAGTTCGAGGTAACCGAGCCGGGTCGGGAGGAATAGGGGAGCGCGGGCCCACCGGGAAGCCACCGGGGCGGCCCGGGCCTAAGTGCGCGGCCCCAGGCGCGCGGGGTCCCCACTTTGTGTGCAGACGTGCGGCGTTCAGCATCCCTTCCTACCCCGCTCCTCTCCTGCTGCCCACCACACAGCACAATAGACACCTCGGGGTGAAAAAGAGACACCCGCGAACAATACCCACCCCCCCAAGAAAACTAAGTTGCACTGCTAGAGAGTTGAGGCGCTTGGAGGAAGCACCTCCCTCCAAAAGGCAACACATATTCACTATATTTTCCTTTAGTTTAGGGAGAGAAACTAGATACATTCAGAAGGCGTTTTCTTTATTAACCAATAAGATTAAGAATCAAATCATCCAAAAATCAGCTTTCTGCATCATTGGTTTTCTTCCTTGGGAACTAGTGAGGAATTCTAATGCCTCTTACTGCCTCGGAAAAATCAGAGAGAAGGATGCACTGAACAAAAGGCACTGCACGGAAGTTTAAAGCACATACACACCACCAAATGCCATCTGGGAATGTGTGGATGTCCGCCAGCTCTTATTTCCAGCTCTGGATGGGTTTCTAAGTCTGAGAGTCTCAAAGTTTGTTCATTGTGCAATTATTTATTGACCATGTACTATGTGCTAGGTACTGTTCTTGGCACAGGTTGAAAGAGCGAGTAAAGAATGTAGATGTTCTTCACGCAGGAGTGCACACACTCGGCAAACAGCACACACGGTAAAGTACCGTGCAGAATATGAAACCCCAGGATGGGGGTAGAAGAGACCACTTGGGGAGGGGAGGCAGGGAGTATGTAGAAGGTGACCAAAGGTTCGCCTGGAAGATGGGCTGACAGGAAGATAGCACAAGCCCTGTCGTTCCTGGGGGAAGGGCACTCCAAGGCACCAAAGGTGCAGCGGACTGAAGTCTGGCTAGCCTGTGTATCCAAGCAATGTCAAGGAAGCTGTGGTAACTGTGGCAGGGTGAGCCAGGGCAGCCAGAACTTCCAGGTGTGGTGGGCCAAGGGTAGGGGAGTGTGTCTTGAGAGTCATGAAGACCTTGACTTTTGTCAGCTGTGGTCGGTAGGCTGTTATTTCCAACACTCTGGAGGGAGAGGCATGTGAGTTTGAGGCTAGCCTGGTCTACATAGTGAGTTCCAGGCCAGTTAGGGATACATACTGAGACCCTGTCCAAAAAAAAAAGAAAGAAAGAAATGAAACGAAAGAATGGAAGACTTCAGCGTTGACTCTGAGACAGGACTGGACAGTTTTGCGAACAAAACAGTGAATGAGTTTCTCATAGGGTTTATCTCGGTGTAAGCCTGAGGGGAAGGGCTGGAGCAGGGAAGCTACTGCAATAAGCCATTCACCCAAACAAAGGTAACGTGCACATAAATCAATAACTAGTAAGATAAATTTCCACTTGACTTCACGGACTAAAGGCATCCTTTGGTGTCTCGGGTTACTGTGACTCCAGAGGGAACACAACCTAACTGCCTCGTGACACCAATGTGTGGGATCCGAAAGATGGTCTCTCAAATATTTAGGTCGAGTTCCCCTTTCTGGAGCTTGGGGCATGGCTCAGTGGGCAAAGCACATGCCCAACAAGTGCAGAGACCTGAATCCAGGTCCCCAGCACCTAGGTAAAGCCCAGGAGGGTGTGGCAGCTCCCCTGTCATTCTGGCAGGTGGAAGGGGAGACAGGCGATCCCCAGAGCAAGCTAGACCAGCTGACTCGGTGAGCTTTGGTTTCAGGTGAGAGAGCCTGCCGAAATACATATGTTGAAAAGCAATCAAGAATCCCCCCCTGGCCGGGCATGGTGGCACAGGTCTTTAATCCCAGCACTCCGGAGGCAGAGGCAGGCAGGCAGATCTCTGTGAGTTCGAGGCCAGCCTGGTCTACAAAGCGAGTTCTAGGATAGCCAGGACTGTTAGACAGAGAAACGCTATCTTGAAATACAGGAAATAAAAAAATCAGCCCCTGTCCTCCATGTGCACAGAAGCATGCAGAAAAAGAGAAATGGATTTTTTTAGACACTTAAGGAAAAGTTTTAACTTAGAGCAGAGCATTGCTTTTAAAGGCTTGATGTCCAGACAGCCTTCCATTTGGTGGACTTTGTTGTTGTTGTTGTGGGGTTTTGTTTGTTTGTTTTTTGGTTTTGGGTTTTTTTTGTTTTGTTTTGTTTTGTTTTTGTTTTTGTTTTTTTGTTTTTTGAGACAGAGTCTTACTATGTAGCCCTGGCTATCCTGGAACTGACTATGTAGATCAGACTGGCTTGGGACTCACAGAGATTTTCCTGCCTTTGCAGGGAGCTCTGGGATTAAAGGTGTGTACCACGGTACCCCGACTGGTGAAATACCATAGCCCTGTTTTGTTTGTGATTAGGAGTTGCCAAAGCCTTTAAGGCTGAGACCTTTCTGAGATGCACTTTCCCCCTGAGATTTTTGCAGTACACTTTTGCCTATTATTATAAATTGCTTTGGGGCTAAAGGAAAGGAAAGAGCCCTCAGGTTTATGCCTTTGCTCTTAGCTGTCTGTCCTAGCCAGATGTAATGCTAAGTGACATTCGTCAGCATCTGACCGTGAGGGTAAGAACACAGGTAATCCTGCGTATTGTTACAGTAGCAGCATTCAGTCCTGCAAGCAAGCAGCGGGGAGTTGGCTCAGTTTTCAGCTCCAGAATATTCTAAGAGTTAAATCCCAAACTACAGGAATGACTTTTAAAAACACACAGTCAATATTTTCACTTCATGGAGAATGTTTTTATAATAACTTATTTCCAAATACATTAATTTAACAGACATTTTGGGATTGGTTCATAATCCATTAATGCTTTGTATTCGTTTGCTGTTGTTTTTGTTTGTTTGTTTGTTTAAAAAAAACAGGTTCATGTTATGTGGTTCAAGCTGGTTCAAACTCCAGGCAGTCCTCCTGCCTCAGCCTCCTGAATGTGAGGACTGCAGGCATGCATGGGCATAGCCAGCTACTATCTGAGCTTGTCTGAAGCACAATTCTATTGAAATTAGCTGCCCTGGGACGTCTGTAGTTATATAGTTGTAATTATATAGTTGTCTGAGACTTCGAAAGTGTGGCTTTTGTAGGGCATAGACGCTTGAGCAGGGCTTCTCAGAATGTCCCGCCCACTTGTCCTTTACTGTTAGACCTTTGTAATGATCATGTGTTTATTTCATGTGTATTACAAAGATTTCATTGAATTTCTGGCTTAAGTAAGATTTGCATACATATATGTATGTATCTGCCATACATAGACACATACTTCAATTAAAATGAACTTTTTT